TTCATCTGGACGTAGCATTTTGTGGGAGAAACGTTTTGTCACTCATCCAATTGACTTCTTCAATCTCAGCTGACTGCAGGTTTCCCCAATCTTATATATACGATGTAATTTAAACTCCCCCATTTGCATAATGACTGAAACCAGTCTATGTACTGTGTGACATAGATTTGATCGGGGGCCTCCAGATGGATCGGCATAAATGGAAAACCTGGTGTGGTAGTGTTATGTAACCCCAGGGGCTTGTGTTTGTTAGATCTGCCCATAGTTACATTGTGTTTTTAAAATGCTTTCCAGCTTTTTTTTTGGATCTGAACTAAACTCTCACATTGCCAGTAAGCTATTGCAGGGGTACCTGTGCTCATTTAACAGTATCAATGTACTTTTGGCTTCAATCTTCATGAAATCTAAAAGTAAACTGAGCCAAATGTCTTCAGATAAAAGTTATTTCTCCATCTGCTCTATAAGCTTTGGCACTGACCCTGGGTATCAATGACAACTAAGAGGTTGTTGTGGTTTTTTTCCATTATGCAGTGTTCTTTCCATTTCACCATATATGAAAATTAATGTCTGTGCGAAACAAACAAGCAAAATAGGTAATGCATTAGCAGAAAATGACCAGCACATTTTCTGTTTTTTACTGTTTGTTTACAATGTGGGATGGAAATGACTGAAGATGCAAAAGCAACCTAAACAAAGAGTATCAGCTGATCCATCAGACAAAGTAGACTGCTGATCTACCAGGATAGGACACTAAGCTTGGCTCTCTGGTCTACCTGAACTAATGCTATTGTCAATTTTCTCATTGGTGTAGATTAGAGGGGTATGTGTAGAGAACCCAATGGAGAAAGGTGAACAGTACAAGAATTTGAAGGAGCGTGCAAAGGGCAGAAGAACTATATGATGGTTGATTTAAGAAACATCTGGGGTTCATCTAGCAGCTCTGTGAAAGTGTCTGGAACTGCCTAGTCACTAAAATTATAATAAGCGAGAGAGTAACTACCATCCATTTTTATACAGTTTCTTTACTATCATGTGATTATGTCAAACCACAGTTTATCTACTGGGGTCTGAGATTATGCCTCGTACTTCTGCTTTGGACTTGTTTAGACACACATCATCTCTCTGTTTGCAAAGCAGGAGATATAAGAGCCACTGCTCCCCTGGCAACTATAGCCAGATGAAAAGAGTGAAAGACTCAATTATTCATCGAGCTCTCTCTTTCCCCGGCTTTGCTGAACTGAAATCATTCAGTCCTCTCTGACCCAGTGTTATCGAGTTCTCCTTATCATGTTCTAAAGCCTTTTGAGCACCCAGTAGATTAAATAAGGGAGTTCCCCATGGCTGCACAAAGAGCCTCTTGTGGGGATTCTGAATGTTAATTTTCATATTTATTTCCCTCTGTTGGTTGGGCTGCATAAGAACAGGCTAGTCTTACTAGTCTGTGATATAATTTTTCTGTGATTGCCACGACCATTGGAAAGATATCCAAAATAGTGCATCCATTAATTTGCACAATTGTGTAGATGACAGAAAAATATTTTATAGCACTTTTGACTTTATTAAAATGGGCTTATCTAATTGGCACATTTTTGTTTCTAGAAATCTGAGTTCCGCAGGCCAAAATGTCAGGGAAGCAATGAGGAATTGTGACAATCTCATCGATTCTTTGATCTACTACATCCGGGGAACCGTAGCTAACCGTAAGATGGATGACAAGGTGAAGTGAAAACATTTGTCCTCACTGTATCTGCGTCACGGCAAACTGCTTTGATTTACAACACTTTTGTTACATGTTCACAAATGATTTCTACTTGTACTTTCAAACAGATGTAAACTTTGCCTGAATTCTTAGAATTCCCTTCTATGTTTCTGTTGTGTACCCGTATGTTATTAAATTGTTTGCCAGACAATCTTTACTTTCTTTCTTCATCTACATCTCAATCTACTCTGAAGCCCACGGAGAACTGCGTCTGTATCCTGCACAACCTGTCTTATCGGATTGAGTCAGAGCTTCCGAAGCAAAACGACCAGGTTCTCACAGAGTCTCGCCAAGACTTGGATTCGCAGCCAAAGACTCCGGGCTGTTTTTCTTATCGCAGTGCCAAGATCACAGAGGTAATCTCTTTACACATTAATGGACCCTGACAACACAAAAGACGTTCTTATGATTTAATATCTGAGTGTGAGAGAACATCTTTAATCATCCTTACTAGAACATGCTCATTTAGCTTTCTCTTGTATTATATTGGTGGTGAGAAACATCCAAACAAATCATGCATTATACATTACTGCTTTACCAGGTGCGCCAGTGTTGCTGCTGTTATGCTATTATCTATGTAAGTTAGCCATAGCTCTACATAGCATGACAATCAGAAGCACAATTCTCAAAAGATGATTGTTTTTTCCATCTGCAGTAATTTTATTTGATGCTACGGTTCTGGTCTGACACCTCCGTGTAGTTGCATGTGTGTAGCAACAAAGCCGGCATCAGTGACAATGGTCATCACATTAATGAAGTCAAATGCAGCATTAAAGGAGGAAGTGGGGAGGAGGTGGATTGCAACTTTACATCTGGTAGACAAGCTAAAGCGGCTTAAAAAACACACATCCTGAGCTATCAGTTAAATTCTTGTTGATATTTGCTGACATTTTTTTTAATGAGCCTTTATTTAGTTAGGAAGTCCCCTGAGATTAACATCTCTTTTCCAAGGGAAACCTGGTCACGAAGACACGCTGTTAGTGGTACAAAATCAAATTTAACATCAGAACAAAGCAAAAACAAAACAAGTCAGAGTAAAAATGCCATACAAGGTCCAGCTTATGAGTAGCAGTTACACAGTTATAGAAGTTTTTATAAGACATCTGAACTCTCAGGCAGCTTTTATGTGCTCTGAATCCTACATTAATGTGGAAATAACTGGGTTAATGGCTGCTGATCAGATAAAAAAAAATTACTAAATCAAAACATGTGTCTGGTCCTTATTTAAGGAAACACTTAGTGTTATCTTAAATAACACTAAGCCTCTTTAACTTTTTGTCTATGTTGGCATTTAAAAAAATGCTCAGTTGTTACTAAGAGATCTGAGGTGTGTCAGGAAACATTCACCACCAGCAGCCTGAACCTTTGATACAAGAGAGTATAAATGTCTCTTACACTATAATCTGAGTTGAATTCAGACTCATCAGACCAGACAACATTATTCCAGGCTTTTGTTGTCCAATCTTAATGAGCCTATGTGAAATGTAGTTTTAGTTTCCTGTTCCTATCTGACAGGAGTGTGGGCTTCTGCAGCCATCTGCTTCGAGATTCAACATGCTGCGTTTTCAGAGATGCTCTTTTGCACCCTAAGCTGTAATGAGCGGTTATTTAAAATTTACAAAAAAAATATACTTTTGCCTTTCCATCAGCTGGAAGCAGTCTGTCCATTCTCCTCTGAGGTCAACAAGTCCTGGCTCAACAAGGCATTTTAGCCTCGAGAACTGCCGCTCACTGGATATTTTTTTCTATTTTGGTCCATTCTCTGTAAACCATGGTTGTGTGGGAAAATCCTAGAAGATCAGTAATTGCTGAAGTAGTCAGACCAGCCCAGTTTGGCAGCTACAACTATGCTCATTCAAAGACATTTAAATCATCTCTCTTCTTCATTCCTAAGCTCAATTTGAACTTCAGCACATCATTTAAACTATGTCTATATGCCTAAATATACAGGGTTGCTGCCATGTGACTGGTTGGTTAGGTATTTGCTGTAATGAGAAGTTGTAACTACTGACTGCATAGTTTTTGAAAACTATGGGCTTCAATATGCTGCTCTAACAGTGATTGCTATTCTGCCTCCTACAAGAATGAAATCTGGATGCATGGATTTGGTTCCCTAAAGCTGTATAAGTATGTCTTTTGCAGGAATTTAAACTTCCAATATGAAAATGTGGAAAAATGGATGCACCACCAGTCTTTAGATGCCCATACTGAATAAAATCAATTGCTAACCCACCTCTTGTTGTAAATTTGAACCGACTGGACCCACATACCTGGAGTCTGTCTCATAAACTCCTTCTTCTCAGTATGCAGTGCATCAGCACCCCCTGCTGGAGCCCGAGCCCAACCCCAACCCCCATGGCATAGAGTGGCTGTGGGACACGATCACTGTCAGGATGTACATATCACTGATGGCCTGCAGTACAAGTGACACCATCAAGGAGGCTGCCCTTGGTGCTCTGCAGAACATCACAGCTGGAAAACACGAGGTAAGATGGGAAGGACTTCAGCTCTTAATCTAATTAGAGGTTCGACGTGTAAGCAGAAAAGAGGCAAGTGTGTCTACTGTATCTCTGACACTTTATTAGACGTATGTATGAGTCAAATGAAGGGTAGAGTAGTCTGGAATACTGTTTGACAGCTTTTTTTTTGGCCACCTGATCATTATGCTTTAGTATTGTTTAGCACATTTATACTTACATGTATATGCATTATATAGTCATACATGTAAGACATATTTAAAATGTTTGTTCTGTGGTCTGCAGATAAACAGAGGCATCGCCGTTATCATTGTTCAGCGGGAAAATGGTCTTGAGAAGATTAAGGAAATTTTAAACGGTGAAAGTAGTAATCTAAAGATACCTGCTGTATCTCTAATCAGAAACCTCTCACGCTACGATCGACTTCACCCTGCCATTGGTAACTTTTGATGTCTCCTCTAAGCTTTTCCCATTATCGTTCCACCACGACCACAAACCGCACTTTTGAACGGCTCTTTTACATGACTTGTTTTACTCCTAAAGCAAAGCAGGTGTTGCCAGAGATGGTGAAAATGCTGCCCTTTGACAGCACCGACGTCAACCAGACTAGTGAGGTGACGATTTCTCTATGTGAAATCCTGACTTACCTGTGCCAGAGTGATGCGAAGAACGCCAACGCAATAATCGAAAACCGCGGCATCGCAAAGATCATCAACATCAGCAAGACAGACAAAGGGTTAGTTACCTTACTAAATCACTCAGATACAAGACTTGAGAAGTTGTATGTTCAATGCAAGATAATGATATATGTGCCATTATTTTGTTTGTTCTTTTTATGTCATTATTTACCTAATCCATTGTATTTAGTTCCTTTAAGTAGCAATAACATAAAGTAACTTCTTCAGAGTCTCGGTACTTCAGATAAAAGTGAATAATTAAAAAACTGATGTGAGTAAATGCTATAGCCATGCAAAGTTATGAACAGGCTAGCGCAAAGTTATGAGGGAACTGCTTTCGTAGGTTGTATGGGTGCATGCCACATTCCACATGCCTAATTAACATACTAACAAATGCTAGAATCGTACTAGCAGGAAAAGGTAAAGCCCAGAATTCATGCAACTGGAAGTTTTTAAAAAAGCGTGGAAAAGGGGAACACACAGAAGCTTCTTCAGTTCTAAGGTCAAATGGTGGGGAGTCCCAGATAGTGGGGACTCTCCACCATTTGACCTTAGAACTGAAGAAGCTTCTCGGATGAGAGGTGAAACGTCTTCAAGCAACTTAAAGAAGTCCAGACGCTTTTCTTTGCAAGCTCCTTTGACCATGTGTGATATTATTTTTACCTTTTCCTTCTCCTCGTTACAGACCCAGTCGTATGCAAAAGGCAGCGTGCCTTCTGCTGCACGTAATATGGCAACACAATAAAATCCATGAGACCCTCAAGAAAGTGAGTTCCTGCACACATCACATTCAATCATATCATTTCTTCATGTCTTTACACTTCATTATAAGCACTTTAAGTTTGTCTCAGAACTTAAAAATGTGTTTTAGGCTTAGAGGGTTGAAATGGCTTCTTTTCCTCTTTAAGTTGTTTAATTTAAACAAAGAACTGAGCTGCTAGTTATTGATACATTGCTGCATGTTACATTATTCAGCTGTGTCTTTAAGAAAAACTACCCTAGAGGTGGGAGGATTGATCTAAATATCCATAGTATCGACACCAAAGCTGATATTGGTGTCAGATCAATACTAGCATGACAGGACTGATCCTTTGTTTCTATGTTAAGTATGTAGCCAAGTGGAAAATATAGCTCAAACATGCACTAGGTTGAACATGCTGAAACGTTTCGATTAACTAATTATTGAGAAAAGGAAAAATCACAGTATTTTTAGTGGTTGTGAAAATGTGTTCAGAATTGGCAAATTGGTCATAACTCATCTCATAACTCATGCCACACTGCTCTCTCTTATATAAGCCGCCATTATAGATTAAAAGTATCGCTCTCTGTATTGATATCGGCAATACTGCCCCTGTATTTATTAGTATCAGATCGATACCAAAATTTGTAGTATTTCACAGCACTAAACTGCACATTTGCATCATTCAGTTCGTTAAATAACTTTTCGACATTTGAGTCTTTAGTTCGGTGCAGTACGAAGACATACATTATGTTTTTTGAATGTCTGAAATACAGCACGCTAATCTACACTTTTTCAACAGCGGGGGTTCAAGAAATACGATTTCGTCAATGCGAAGATAAAAAGAGCTTTGAGCTCCTGATGAAACTCAGCCGTGGATTCATAAACGCTATCGGCGCAGTTTTCATCTCATCTGTATGTAGCGACTGTTTTTTTTTTTTATTGCTGTTGTTTTTGTTTTGTTGGGGTTTTTTGTCATGCTACAACCAAACTTTGGAAACTACATTGAAACTCTTTTTTAAATGATGGACTTTTTTTGGTTGTTTGTTTTATATTTGGAAATCTCTCTCCAGCTATTTGCCCTAATGTTCGCATTAGTTGGATTCATGTTATCAAATGTATGTTTCTGATACCACAAAATGAATGAGATGTTTTATTAAAAAAAAGAGGTAAACCTGCTGATTCATGAAGAACTGTACCACACTTTTTGTGACCTTTAAAGCACCTTTTAGTTGTTAATAATCCTTGTGTAGCATATCGTTGTTGTAGTGCCTTATGATAAAAATGACAGATGAATGTAGAATGTTTTTTTACAGCAGAAAATGCACTAATCATAAGACACCTATTGAAATTTGAAGTATTTCTTTCGGTTTATGTTGTATGGGTTTTTTCCCCCTCCTTTCCATAACGGCAGCTTGTCAGTTTATAATAGTCGATGTTTTAAGACAAATTAAATCTTTGAAATGAAGAAGTTCTTTTTTAAGACAAACCAAATGAAGCTGTACATTAAAGAATACAGAATGCGCTCAAAGACTCATTACTGGGACTCAAATGCTTGTTAACCTGTTCTCTATGTGAAAATGCCTTGTTGATGTCTGAGGAGAACAGACAGACTGCTTCGACCTGCACCAGGAGGCCGCATCTGTCAGCTAAGAATAGGAAACTGAGGCTACAATTTGCACATGCTGTCCTGCACGGGCATCTCTGAAGGCAACCTGGTACTAGCAAGGTGTACATCATAAAGAAGATATTTCACACTAAAGGCCAATTCTGATACCAATTTATGGAGCTGATATGTGGTTATTTTAGAGTTAAAATGAGAGACCAACTTCTTATGAATGTGTTTTAGAGTACGGTCAGAAACTGGTCACAAAGAAATGCCTTGAATTTGCTTTGCAGATTGTTCTATAGTAGTTTCTACATTATGCTGTGTTAGAAATTTTGCATGTAGCTTGGTAGATATTAGACAACACACACTGACATATTTTTGATTTTCCAGTATCAGCTTATAAGATTGGTTGGGCCACTTTTAAACTGTTATGTACAAAAAGAAAAGAAAACTGGTTGGAGTTGTCACCAGAAATATATCAAATCTACTACTCGTTGTCTCCCTCATTTATTTAAGAACATATCAGAATATTACAGCTCACACAATATTTATATGACTCACTATAGCTTTGCATTACAGAATGACAAATGACCACAGTCTGCTATGTATTCCCTCAGCTTTCATTTCCCTATGAGAAAACTGCAGACAGTAAACAAAGGAAGATTAGCACCACAGTAAATGGTCCGCTCCATCATTCGCTAATAAATTGTGCAAGATGGGGCAAGTGCTAGTGGGAGGAAATACTCAGATGTTTGCCTTCTATGTTCATTTGTCAGCCCTCTCGGTGAAGCAGCGGTAACCTTGCAGGGGCCTGCCAGCACGAGCTGCACTGCGGTACAGCTAAAGGGGGGAGGAGTTGGGGGTTTGGGTGCCAATCAACATCAGCCCTCCCGGACAAGGATTTTAAGGTCAAAACTGCAGGGGGTACGTGCACAGCTTTTGCACATCATTCAGTTCTCAATATTCTGCCTTATGAAACAGATCAGAAATGAGAAGAAAGAGATGGTGAGTGAAATATAGGGGAGAGAGAGAGTTAAAACTCAGAGGTAAGAAAACCCTGTCAAAACATTTTTTCAGAGAAATGGTGATCTTACTCAGACTATATTTGAGAGCAAAATTCCTGTAGGGATTCACTGGGAAATTTATCAAAGCCCCACGTGATTTCAGGCGGTGGTTACATTTTTAAAAAAAATCTAATTAACAATAACCCACAAAGCAATTAAAGCTCAGTGACAACGATTCCGTCTACATCTACAAAACCACCCTGGACAGAGCAAAGAAAAGACACATAGTGTGCTTCTGCAAGTGCATAAGATATAATGTAGCACGATATGCCTGAAGGCTGCTTTGAGGACTAATATGAATGTATTTTTCTTGTTCAGTGCTGAGGTTTTGTACACATGTTCTACATATCTTAAGCAGAGACCAGATTTAAAGAGCATATCTTATGATCAAAGCTTGTTGGTAACATGTAACATAAGACAGAAAATCCATCAACTCAAAACATACTTAATAATTTAATGAGTCTACTTGTCAAATAGCAATATGCTTATTTCAGAGCTAGAAGCCCATTTTTAGGGCGTGAAAATGAAGTCAGGCTGTTATCCTCCAGGGGGCAGTGGTGTACCATAAAAGCTTTAGTTACGTGGCTAAAGCTCAAACACTGTACTCAAGTTGACTTTGTCTTTTAATAAATATAAAATTCGTCATCATCCACGTTTTAAAATGGATTAGCTCTCATCTTAAATCCATTTCAATACTATCGTCTCTTTTTGCTAATCACCCCTAATTCACCAGCTCTTTGAACTGTTTTGGTGACAAATACCACAATTTCAAAGCCCTGGTTTTAACAGGAGTTGAAAAAGCTAAGAAAGATCCAGATCCTTTCAACAATAGCTTCCTTGTCTGTTCACAGCTTATGCGCTTTTGAGAAATGGTCTAGTTTCTTACATCACAAGAAGATCTTCCTCCTGCCTTAGCTAATGGTGAGCAGACTTAAAGAAAAATAATGTCATAATGATGGATAATACAAGAAGCCCATGTTATTTATAGACCAGCAGAGAAATAATATATGTCCAAATAACCAACAGGAACAGGTGCCAAGAAACATGAGGTTTGTTTGTTGCTGGAGTAGAGCGGGGAAGTGGGCCACACTGACACATCTCAACTGAACATGTTTAATACACAGAGAAAGAAAGGATTTATTCACAGAGCTGCAGCAGTGGTAAACAGGCTCAAGAGAGGCCAGCTTTTGCTTTACACTGAGGCTATTGTCAGGGATGTCAGCACCCAGGGGTAACTCCTATCCACTGGCGTGAATTAACCAGCCCAGAAGTTCATGCTTTACTGAAACTAGATATTTCTTTACCCCTCAGATCTTTTAATAATGTCTGGAATAAAGTACACAGCAAGAAAGGCAGCGTTATAGTAAATGCTGATGCTAGATGTTTTAGATTAGCAGGCATGCTAACACCTTCAGTTGATGGCATTAGCATGCTACATTTGCCACTATTTTTCCTTCTCACTCTTTAGTATCTCAAATTTTAGACTTAATAACAGAAACTTTCGAATTAGGTAATAATATTTAAGAAAATTAACTTACTCAGAAGTAAGTTAAAATTTTGAGAGAAATGAAAATGTTACGTTAGCTGCCTATGGTTAGCAGCATGTGGTGCCAAACTGAATCACTGCTTTAAGTCTGAAAGAAGTCTTTGTTTTTAACCTAGGCTGAAGTTGTATAAAAGCTTGTTACTGATACTGATTTTGCTTGGCGTTTGTTTTTTGGGGGGCTAATATCTAAATATTCTTATATAATAACTCAAAATTCCAAGTTGCCTATCTAAAAATGTTGATATCTAAATTTTGACTTACTAAGTAGTCTCAAAAGTTAACTCTAAATTCAACTCAGAATTCTGAGATCAGCTGAAATTTTTAGATAAGTCAAAACATAACCTTGACATGATTTAAACTGGTTTGACTTTGATCTTAAAATACAAAATGAAATCAATGTTAGCATCTTTCGTTTGGATAGTCCTTACACCCTGGCTTAAAAAGTGTAACGAAGGTTGTGGGGTGTAACTGCAGATTTTAGCCTCAAAACAATTATCTGACAAGCTACATTTGGAATGAGTGAATGCAAAGGTGTTCTAGTGATTATTTCTTCTTTATATGCACGCATTGTTTATGTCTTGTTGTCTCTTAGGAGTGGAGTAATAAATGGCCTAAGTGTTCGGAGTCATTGCTCTTGATCTGAAAGGAAATCTTTGTTTTAATGGCTGCTTTATTGATGTAGTTCAGGTGATTAGCAAGTATCTTCTGTAAATGCACATGTGAATTTTATAAGTTCTGTTCTGCATAATCTACCCATTATTGACGTTTTCCACAGAAGCTGTTTTGACAAATACCAGGTAAACACAGGTGTTGCTAAACACATTAATGAAAGCTCTGTGCATAAACAGATATTATTGTAATTAGTAACACCTGTGTTTGCCTGCTAATTTATGTTAAAACAGCTTCTGTGAAAAACGTCAATAACAGCTAGATGATACAACAGAGCTTAAAAAATTCACGTGTCCAAAGCAGCATGAGAAACCTGAGCTGATCTTGCTTTCAACATATAGTTTATGCGTTGACCTCTTGAGTAAACTATGAATTAAATCTATAATTGTAACCTTTATTAAGAAACCACTAAAGTTATATTGGATCTTCCGAGGCATGTCTAATCACGTTTACAGTAAAATTTAGTTTAGATCATAATTGGTCTGTTAAATTTTAAATGATATCTGACTGTTGAGTGAAAGCTTATCCTGTTTCGACTGGTATAAAAGCAGTAATTCATCAAAAACTTAACTCGTGTTGGTTTTAGAGGCAGCTATTGTTAACAAGCTATGCTGGAGGCACTACCTGCTCATTAGGTGGTATAACCTGCAGCTGTGCTTAGCTTTTAAAGATCTTCATCCTGCTTGAACACATGGGCACTTGTTCTTAGGCTGAAAGGGTGTGTTGTGTGTGCACACACGCTTGTCTTGAGGCAGAACAGAGAGATCTTATAAAAGTGGGACAAAGGTTTTACCGGCAAAGGGGAAAGACACGTCTCAGACAAAGCAGAGCTTCTCAAGGTTGTGCAGACACCAGCTCACCTGAATTGAAGCTAGGAATAAAAAAAAGTGTGATGTAGAAAATGTGGTCTTAGCTGTAAAGCTGCAGATTTACCCATCACAGATTTTCCTGTGGGGGGGGATAATTGATCCAGTTACTAATAAAATCAGTTTAGTTGAACTCGTCAACTAACCTAAGTATAACTGGTGCATTTGCATCATCTTCAATGGCCCAAGGTATAAAGCCCAAAGCAAAATCTACTCTAAGATATCTCTGAGTTGATTTCAAATATATGCGATCTCAAATCACTGTGGATCTTCTGCTTAACCATCTCCAGTTTGCCTAAACATTTTAAGGTATAAGATGTGGATATATATGTGGCAGTTGTAAAATTTTGGCTCCTTTTATCAAATACTGTCAACTCACTTCCATCATCTTTTTTTGCTGAGGCAATGTTTTAATGTGAATATTTCAAAAACTATTAAAGATAAAAGCCTGAAATTTTCACTGGCTTTTCTTAATATGAAAATGAATCAGTAGATATAGATAAAATATAACAATAACAATGTATGATTTTCAGGTATATATTTTAAAAGTATTGCATCTGTCATTCTAGTGGTCAGCATGCAGATTGCCTAATCCCTGTTTGCCTGTGGTAGTCGTGATGTTAGGGTTGGGGAATCAGGGTCATGTATCAAACAGTAACTTGGCCTTACAGACTACTCACCTGAGACTGCTTTTCCCTTTTTCATTCGCTTTGACTGTTTTTCTATATTTATGTCTTGTACAGCAAATTTAATCTCAGTGGTTGTTGCATTTCGTATGCCTATCAGTACATTTTAAGCTCAATCTGACTTTTAAGATTCCACCTAGACAATCAGCGTGCCTACAAACTGGGTGCTGGAAATTGAAAAAATATGCAGGTAGTTTAAAATTGGAAGGGGATGGATGGGCCTTAAAGATTCTGACATCTAAAGCTAACGTTTCACACCAATCATTATACACGTCGAAGTTTAAAACCATACAATTTTCATGAAAATCAGAGGTGCTTGAGCAAAAAATGTTCTTAAAATGTGAGATTTGAGATGCAGAGGCCAACAGGGGGGAAAACTACATCTGTGACTTTGTTGATTCCACCAGAACGCAAGCTTTGT